GTGTACACCTATCCCCCGATTTACACGTTTTTCTTAGGAACGTATCTACCGTGTAAATCGGGGATAGGTGTATTTCTAATCAGTTTGTAAATCATATCGCGCACGGCTAAGTACGCTAACTGCTCAGCCAAGGGCCTCTCTACCGACCATGAGGCAAGATCAATGTCTTGCCCAAATGCCAGAGCTAGAGCTGCAAAGTTATAGTCTTCCCGCCTTCTTCCTGCCTCCTGACCTCCGCGGACCCAATCCGGCCTAACCTGCCTCTTCTCTAACGGAGATCCTGTCCCTAGCCTCCCCAGCCTGGTCATAGTGCTTTGTATATATTATGTTTTACACGGCCATTGGGGCTCAAAAATCATTTTATTTTGGTTAGAAGCCCCGTAAATAAAAATATTTCCGTAAAACATATTATTAATTCTTTTTCCATTTGAGGTAACCGGGATTCCTGGAGTGTACAATGCCATTTATTTTAGAATATTAGAATCTAAATATAGTTAGCGAATTCTGTAGGCTCTCCGAAAGAAAATTTTGGATTAACTAAATGAATAATTTCCTTGATTTAAATATCTTAAATATAGATAAAACAACATGTTTCTGGAGATAAGTAATTTTTATTAATAATAAAGGTTTTCTCTTACTGGAGAGTTGCTAAATAGTAAAAATGGTAAGTTTTCAAAAGAAAACTGTACTTTATAGAAAGGTGTCCTCTTTCTGGAGAGTTGCTAAATAATGAAAATGGTAATTTTGACAATGAAAACTGTCCTTTATAGAAAGGTGTCTTCTCACTGGAGAGTTGCCAAATATTAAAAATGGTAATTTTTCAAATGAAAACTGTCCTTTATAGAGAGGTGTCCTCTTACTGGAGAGTTGCAAAATAGGGAAAATGGTAATTTTTCAAATGAAAACTGTCCTTTATAGAAAGGTGTCCTCTTTCTAGAGAGTTGCTAAATAATGAAAATGGTAATTTTGACAAATAAAAACTGTACTTTATAGAAAGGTGTCCTCTTACTGGAGAGTTGCTAAAAAGGGAAAATGGTAATTTTTCAAATGAAAACTGTCCTTTATAGAAAGGTGTCCTCTTACTGGAGAGTTGCTAAATTGTAAAAATGGTGAGTTTTCAAATGAAAACTGTACTTTATAGAAAGGTGTCCTCTTTCTGGAGAGTTGCTAAATAATGAAAATGGTAATTTTGACAATAAAAACTGTCCTTTATAGAAAGGTGTCCTCTTACTGGAGAGTTGCTAAATAGTAAAAAAGGAAAGTATTCAAATGAAAACTCTACTTTATAGAAAGGTGTCCTCTTTCTGGAGAGTTGCTAAATAGTAAAAATGCTAAGTTTTCTAATGAAAACTGTTCTTTATAGAAAGGTGTCCTCTTTCTGGAGAGTTGCTAAATAATAAAAATGGTAAATTTTCAAAAGAAAACTGTCCTTTTTAGAAAGGTGTCCTCTTACTGGAGAGTTGCTAAATAGGGAAAATGGTAATTTTTCAAATGAAAACTGTACTTTATAGAAAGGTGTCCTCTTACTGGAGAGTTGCTAAATAGGGAAAATGGTAATTTTTCAAATGAAAACTGTCCTTTATAGAAAGGTGTCCTCTTACTAGAGAGTTGCTAAATAAGGAAAATGGTAATTTTTCAAATGAAAACTGTCCTTTATAGAGAGGTGTCCTCTTACTGGAGAGTTGCTAAATAGGGAAAATGGTAATTTTGACAATGAAAACTGTACTATATAGAAAGGTGTCCTCTTACTGGAGAGTTGCTAAATAGGGAAAATGGTGATATTTTTAAATGAAAACTCACCTTTATAGAAAGTTGTCCTCTTTCTGGAGAGTTGCTAAATAATGAAAATGGTAATTTCGACAATGAAATCTGTCCTTTATAGAAAGGTGTCCTCTCACTGAAGAGTTGTCAAATATTAAAAATGGTAATTTTTCAAATGAGAACTGTCCTTTATAGAGAGGTGTCCTCTTACTGGAGAGTTGCTAAATAGGGAAAATGGTAATTTTTCAAATGAAAACTGTCCTTTATAGAAAGGTGTCCTCTTACTGGAGAGTTGCTAAATAATGAAAATGGTAATTTTGACAATGAAAACTGTACTTTATAGAAAGGTGTCCTCTCACTGGAGAGTTGCCAAATATTAAAAATGGTAATTTTTCATATGAAAACTGTCCATTATAGAAAGGTATCCTTTTACTGGAGAGTTGCTAAATAGGGAAAATAGTAATTTTTCAAATAAAAACTGTCCTTTATAGAAAGGTGTCCTCTTACAGGAGAGTTGCTAAATAGGGAAAAGGTAATTTTTCTAAGAAAACTGTCCTTTATAGAAAGGTGTCCTCTTACTGGAGAGATGCTAAATAGGAAAAATATGATTTTTCAAATGAAAACTGTCCTTTATAGAAAGTTGTCCTCTTTCTGGAGAGTTGCTAAATAATGAAAATGGTAATTTTGACAATGAAAACTGTCCTTTATAGAAAGGTGTCCTCTTAATGGAGAGTTGCTAAATAGTAAAAATGGTAATTTTTCAAATGAAAATTGTCCTTTATAGAGAGGTGTCCTCTTACTGGAGAGTTGCTAAATAGTAAAAATGGTAATTTTTCAAATGAAAACTGTCCATTATAGAAAGGTGTCCTCTTACTGGAGAGTTGCTAAATAGGGAAAATGGTAATTTTTCAAATGAAAACTGACCTTTATAGAACGGTGTCCTCTTACTGGAGAATTGCTAAATAGGTAAAATGGTAATTTTTCAAAGAAAACTGTCCTTTATAGAAAGGTGTCCTTTTACTGGAGAGTTGCTGAATAATAAAAATGGTAATTTTTCAAAAGAAAACTGTCCTTTATAGAAAAGTGTCCTTTTACTCGAGAGTTGCTAAATAGGGAAATGATAATTTTTCAAATGAAAACTGTCCTTTATAGAAAGGTGTCCTCTTACTGGAGAGTTGCTAAAAAGGGAAAATGGTAATTTTTCAAATGAAAACTGTCCTTTATAGAAAGGTGTCCTCTTACTGGAGAGTTGCTAAATTGTAAAAATGGTGAGTTTTCAAATGGAAACTGTACTTTATAGAAAGGTGTCCTCTTTCTGGAGAGTTGCTAAATAATAAAAATGGTAAATATTCAAATGAAAACTGTCCTTTTTAGAAAGGAGTCCTCTTACTAGAGAGTTGCTAAATAGGGAAAATGGTAATTTTTCAAATGAAAACTGTACTTTATAGAAAGGTGTCCTCTTACTGGAGAGTTGCTAAAAAGGG